TTCTGCATATTCACAGATCATTATAATCCTGCATAAGTTTTGCAAAAATAACAGTTGAAGATGAGTACAATTCCCAACCTTTTGTGGAGTGTGATAGGTCCACTTGAAAATCTTATGAAGGTTAAGGATTCTCTTCTAACACATAAATAGGTATCATTTTCCACTTATTTTTAGAGCTGCACAGAGTTTAACTCCTTCTTCAGCACATAATCTATGAAATTTCTTTATGTGTATAATAATTAATGTGAAGAAAAAGAGAAAATAGTGTAACAGCTTTTTAGTGCCTTAGTTTTTGGGACAATTTTAATTGAATTACTTTTGCAACACTTTCAAAACATTTTTTAAAAAATATTTTGTTTTAAAAACATTAATTTAAAAGAAAAGAATAAAATACAGTCTGTAGAGGAAAAAAAAAGAAGTAAAGGATCCTTGGTATTTATCCTAAAGATTGAATTTATCATACTGCAGTGATACATGCATACCCATGTTTATAGCAGCACAATTCACAATAGTCAGAGGAAAAAAGAAAAGAGAGGTGGCGGTGGGTCTCTTAAAAATCAAAGGGAGATCAGTAAAGGAAAGGGACCAAGTGAGAGGAGGAAGTGCTGGGGAGTAATATTGGCTAAATTATATTGTTATATTGCATGCATGTATGAATATGTAACAACACATCTCATCATCATGTACAACCAATAAGAAATGTGGGAAAAATAAAAGGAGTAAAGATGTGCATATCAGCTAGGTGTGGTGACACATGCCAGTAATCCCACTTACTTGAGAGGCTGAAGCAGGAGGATCTCAAGTTTGAGGCTAGTTGGGGCAATCCAATATAATATATATGTATATAAAAATACATGTTCTGACCCAGACTACAGAGAAAGAGAGTCTGGAAGTTACACATTTGTTAAGTTTGAAAATTCATGGAGAAGTATTAGAATGAACATGTGACTAGTTTTATGACACATACCCTTGATAAAGGAAAAGGCAAGTCAAAATATACACAATGCCTCCTATGAACTAACTATTTCTTTTATTTTAGGTTTATTTTTACCCATAATGTTAGGATTAGCAGTCAGTGCTTAGTAGGGTATGGGTTAGGGTCAGAGATTCAATACTTCGATCGGAAAATATGAAAATTCATAGAATGTGTATGCGAACATGTGCTACACAAAAATACTTCCAAATGCCATCCAGAACAATGACATGACATTGCCATCACCCCAAGTAAGGGACAATTAGAGAAAGAAGAATAATATCTGCGATGGCATATCTGGAATGGAAAATGCTCAGGAGCTCACAACCTTGGAGGTAGCAGAGAAGATTACAAAAGTAGAGGACAGGGTAAACATGCCACCAACATGGAGGTGTGCTAGCCTAATTGCTTCCTGACAACCTGCCTCTAAGCTTTTGGTACTTGAAATATATATTTCTCCCATCAGGAGCATTGGTTCCCTTTACAGTGAGACAATCAAAGCTGGATCTGCATCTATGTGAACTGGAGGACATTGTTTCATATTTTCCAATGGGCATAACGCAGCAGAGCTGAATCCTCTTCTTGGAGGTGAACTGTGACCACTGGGGGCTGAATGTCTCAAAATGAAAAACAAAAGGGGTTGAGGGTGTAGCTCGGTGGTAGAGTACCCCTTAGTTCAATCCCCAGTACCAAAAAAAAGGAAAAAAGAAAGAAAAAAGACGCACACAGGGAATTTTCTCTCTAGGATTTAATGTCAACCTTCCTATTAAAAGCAATCAAATACATACATGTATTTGCTAAAATACATGTATGCATGTATCACTGCAGTATGATAAATTTAATTCTTAGGATAAATACCAAATTCTTAGGATAAATACAAAACTGTTTAAAATGCCTAAAAACCTTAAAAGTTTCAAAGAACTTTCAAAGCAAGTGTGATTTTCAGGCCAAAATCAAAGGATATTGAGGCCAGATAGAAAGGTACTATTGCTCTAGGGGAATGTACTGCACCCATAACGTTTGAACTTTGTTTTGATAACCTCATAAAGTGAAAAATCTCTAGAAAATACTAAAAGACTGCTATCAGATTTCTTTGGGTAGTGAATGCTATCCAACTTCTTTATGGGGCTAGCATCACCTTGAGGGCAAACCCAATGGGCCAATATCATTTTTGAATATTTATGCAAACCAAATAAATAAAAAAGCAGAAAGATGCATCATAAGAAGCTTGGGTTTATTCCAGGACCATGTGGAGAGAAAAAATAAGGAATAAAAGATCCTTTTATTTTATTTTAGGTATGTATCCTAAGAATTAAAGTTTATTAATTTATTAATTCTAGGCTTTATTAAAGTTTACTAATTTAATAATTTTAGGCTTTTTATTTGAAAGTTAACTGCTGTAGCACACCACATTGATTAAAGAAACATCTTTACTATTCAATTGAAGCAAAAATAAACAAGCATTTGCTAAAATTCACCCTCATTCATTAAAATTTTTTTTAGTATACTAGGAATAAAAATAAATGTTTATAATTTCATAAAAGTTATCCACAGAATCCCACAGCAATTAGTATACCTAATGGTGATGTACTGAAAGCTTTTTCTTTTTTTAAATATTTTAATATTTATTTCTTAGTTTTCAGTGGACACAA